ATCCTGCCAAACATTTAAAACGTCTTCTATCTAGAATCAGAAAACATCCTGTCTAACATTTAAAACGTCTTCTATCTAGAATCAGAAAACATCTTGTCAAACATTCAAAACGTCTTCTATCTAGAACCTGAAAACATCCTATCAAACATTCAAAACGTCTTCTATCTAGAATCTGAAAACATCCTGTCAAACATTCAAAATGCCTCTAGAAAATAGATAAATGGTATATTAAGTCAAAGAATGAGGACTGCAAGATGGAGGGAAAATAGCGGGTCACGGGTTCGAATCCCCGTCCCACCAAACATGCTTGCCCTTTCAGCCGTGGGGGCGTTATAATGTTACGGTCAATCCCACTATTCGTTGGCAAAATAGGAGCCCAAGAGTTGGCGGTGGGTGGTGATGACTAGCTGCCTTCCCTCTAGTCTTACATTGCTAAATTAGGGACGGCTAGCGCAGATAGCCCTCGTGTATTTTTGCACGAAATTCAAAAACAAACAATCAAATAGCGACTTTCCACTGAGGCTCATCCTTTGGGTGCTAAACAAGCCCCCCATCTACTATTGGCACATATTCATCACATTTACTACAAATATCAAGATATGCTCATTACTTTAGATTTTATTGGTAACCTCACGTCTCAAAATCTGGCAAGTAAATTTTTCTGAGGAATTCCTGACACTTATCTCTAAAATTATTGCATTATCGTTCATTATAGCTGATTATTTCAATGTGAATTATATTCTTGGTCCATAAAACAAAATCGCACCTTTTGAAGCTTGTAATCCTCAACTGCATTTGAATTGTTAAAGATAGTTACGGTTTCGTTAGAGCCTTAAACTGTCATTGATTATTTCAGACAAAATCTTTTGTTGCTATGCTTTTAAAGAATTAATGTGTAATGTAGGAATACCAGTTCTAAGAATAAAATTAGCATTTTATCCATATTTATTTAAAGACTTCATTGGTAAGTCATTAAAAACTCAAGTTCTGGCCAGAAGCCTGTTCTTATTATCTGAAATCCTGGTATATCGGCCTTTGAATTTACTTAGACATCTTGCTACGAATGTTCACTTTCTAAATCACAAGTCATAGCAGTTGTTTTAATAATACTGTCAGTAGGTTCCCCAATAATCTGATTACTAAATCATTCCACCCTTATATAAACACAACTGGCCCAGCATGGCCAGGTGGTAAGGGCACTCGACTCACAATCTGAGGGTCGCGGGTTCGAATCCCCATCCCACCAAACATGCTCGCCCTTTCAGCCGTGGGGGCGTTATAATGTGACGGTCAATCCCACTATTCGTTGGTAAAATAGTAGCCCAAGAGTTGGCGGTGGGTGGTGATAACTAGCTGTCTACCCTCTAGTCGTACACTGCTAAATTAGGGACGGCTAGCGCAGATATCCCTCGTGTAGCTTTGCGCGAAATTCAAAACAAACAATAAACACAACTGATTAGTAATAGTGTCGCAGTAGGGTTTCTGCGGAGACGTGTTATATTGTCTCCTTCCCCAGTCAGATATTCGAGTAGGCTGTTCCTAAATCCTTATACTCTGTAGAGCTGGCTACCACCATCAATTAGTATAGTATGAATCAGACTAGGTTTTAGCAGATATCATGTATTCACATGTTCTAAGAGATTTTAGAGGATCTCAATTTATTGGATGAGTATGTCACACATTTTTCTCAGTACATTTATTCTTTCACAGTCAATGACATAGTCATCGTATTTTTGTGATAACAGACATTCCGTAAACTTGTTAGATTCTAGAACTTTAAATATTTGATGAAATTATTAATTTATTCAACAAGTTGTGATCTTTCCATTTCACATGGTTCGCACACCTTTAATTCTTCACATAGGTTTTAGTACTTTGCTATTATGGATTGCTTGGTGCCTCTTTGTTGTTGTTTAACTAATTAGCTAAGTTTATAGTTGCATGATTGGCTTCTGCAAGCATTGTGGCTATTTTTCTCAAGATGTCTGATTAAAGATATTGCTACAATGTGTGAACATTCCCAATTGCTGACTCTCTGCACTCACATGATCCATCTACAAGTGCTCCTACCATATTTGATAGAGTAATGTGGTCTTCGTAAATTAGTTATTTGAAGGACGATTTCAATTTGCTCTTAATAATAACTGTTATTAGGTGTCAGATCTGTTTGTGTCATTTCTGTTGTTCTACATCATAGCACACGAAAGCTAGATGTTCTATACGATTCATATTTAGTCAACTTGCTGCTTCCAACGCCAATAAGAACTTCGTCATAATCACTGCAACATTTCTAGCTTGGGTTGATTTCACTCAAGCGCTGTATAAGAAACTTGTAACGTCCTACGAAGGCTACCTCAACTTAACAGTTAGAACTTACACTGCAATTGTTGATGTCTTAAACTTTCTGAACATTAATATTCCTTTTTTCGACATCGTATGTACAGAAATAACACACAACACTTGGATATTTGTAGAAATTGAAATAAAGTATGTAACCAAATGTGCATACAATAAACACTTAGGCTGGAGTTAGTTCAATACCAGATCCTGAGCTTTGAAATGCTTTCATTTCGACAGTTTTTGCAAAACAGGACCCCCTCCCCCCAGCGGCTCATTAGTAACTCTTAGGGCTTATAACATATAGGGTTTCGATACTTGTGGTGGGCACAGATAGCCCATTGTGTAGTTTTGAGCTCAACAACAAACAAATAAAAACAATACAAAATAGAATATTAAAGCCATTATTGCCCCTATTTTGGGGCATTATTAGGATTAACCTGAAAGATATTAACTCCTTGGTAGTAAGTAGGAAGATTTAAAATAGTAGGTGAAGCACAACGACTAGACATTTCCGCTATGAAATGTTAAGATTAGAGTATTTTCAATGGGCCTGAATGTCTACGGAGTTGGATAGGCACATTTCTCTTTTTGAGAAATGAGAATTTTCTCTTGCTAAAGATATTTGGAGAGCACTCCAGGACATCATCTAAGACAACATTGGCTATAAATACATGACAATGTGTACTGTACAATAATCCTATAAAGATGATCCAGAATGACATTAGATATAAATGTTACATGGCGGGAAATCTTCCTGCATGCATGTAGCAAGCAACACGTGAATGTTTACCATGGATGCTGGAATGATTATCATATATTTGTGCTCAAAGTTAACAGTAAAGATGAGGGAGAATTTCTAAAAAAATACCAAGACTGAGAGACATTTATCCATCATGATGACGTCTGAAGAAAATGTTCTGTATTTATAACAGTCTCACAATACACTAAATATGTCAATAATCATGCTTCTGATTCAGTGACATGTTTGATAATGCAGACAAATTAAATCATGTTGAAAACAAAAACATCAGAAATAGTTTTATAAAGAAGTGACGTTATACACGAACAATAACGGATTAATAAAAGCAACAAGAGTTATGTGAACTGTGACAATTTCGAGAGATAACAGTTTTCACGTAGATAGTTCTTTTTCTAATTTAATTAATAATCAGGTATGAAAAATGTATAAAAAACCTTTTTAAACAATTCAAATATATATATTCTGTTCGATTTTTACAAGCATTTAACTTTAACGAGAAATTAGATGATAAATGTGATTTACCTTTACAACTTTGAACTATGAAGTGAAGTTTGTAATTAAGCACAAAGCTACACAACGGGCTATTTGTGCTCTGCCCACCACGGGTATCGAAATCCGGATTCTGGTGTTCTAAGTCCGCAGACGTACCGCTGTGCCACTGGGGGGCGTTTACAACTTTAACAGATGATGTATTACTATACCATATAAGCTTGAAGATTAAAACCGTTGTTGTATTTTATATTGTGTTGTGTATTGTACAATTGTAAATACAATCTGGATAAACGTATACCAAGTGGAGATAACCTTGAAATATATAAAATCTGTATGAAAATATGCAAGACGTAACTGATCCGCTAACGAATCCAGTATTTTGGGAGAACAGCACATTTATACTGTACACTTGTAAAGTCACACTGTTGTGTTTGTGAAATAATTTTAAAAGGCAGAGTTTTGGATTTTTTAAACCTTTATTCATTGATCTTGTACATGATAAAATGGAAATGCTTTTATAAACTCTTAACATAAACTATAACCGAACGTGCAAAGTGCGTAAAACAAACTTAAAATATGTACTAACACAAAATGGTTGTTACAAATATTAAAACAAACTTAAAGCAACATATCTTGTATTTCTGGGATACGCTATGAACTTGAATTTTGCGACTCGTGCCACGCGACTGACCTTTACAATATCGGAACGTACGTGAAAAAATCGATCGTGTTTATTTTTTGTTATAATATTCATCGTAGCTCATCTATCATACAGGGCATGCTAAAGCATTTCAGAAATGAAAAGCTAAATATTATTTTGAATACATAATATGCAATACATTTTCAGTTCTACAGGTAAATTTAGAAGTATCTATCATAATGTATTTCTGGGTCAGATACCCACACTTCTTTTTGTAGAATGTGTTGATAAAGATGCAGTTAATATATCTTGGGAAAACAAAAAACATTTAATTGCAAATGTTACAATATCAATTTCGTGGGGAAAAAAAGTGTAGATGGAAAACATATTCCTGCTCCGCCTGATTTTTATGGTTATTTGTATGCATGGAGCTCTGAAACTTTGTTTACTGGAACACGAAAAACAATTTCAAGATCAAGGAATTGATATCGGATATGACGAATACTCGGGAGGATATACACTCTTTGCCTTTGATCTTACACTGCTGGAGATTCTCACTTTAACTTGGTGAAACAGGGAAACTTACAAATTGGCAAGATATTATACAACATGAAATTCATTGCCTTTGATCTTACACTGCTGGAGATTCTCACTTTAACTTGGTGAAACAGGGAAATTTACAAATTGGCAAGATATTATACAACATGAAATTCATTGCCTTTGATCTTACACTGCTGGAGATTCTCACTTTAACTTGGTGAAACAGGGAAATTTACAAATTGGCTAGATATTATACAACATGAAATTCATTGCCTTTGATCTTACACTGCTGGAGATTCTCACTTTAACTTGGTGAAACAGGGAAATTTACAAATTGGCAAGATATTATACAACATGAAATTTATTGCCTTTGCAGAATTTCAGTCTGTTCTAGAAATTGATCAGAACAGAAACATCTTAACTGCTATGTAAAATAATAATAGCAAACTATGAACACTACAACTTCATTCGATACAAGCTTTATGTACACGGGATAAGTTCCGAAGTATGTTTGCCAGCATCAAAACAGATTTGTATAATTAATTTAGATCATAATGATCAACCACGTATTCACCAGGTCTGTGTTTACTTTGATCAAGACAAAAAAGGATAATATTTTGATCAGTATAAGCTACTCACCATGAACTTACAATAGAAAAGTACTACAAGGACCTTATTCGTCTGTACATAGACAATATTATATTTATTATGTGCATTATCTTTGCCAACATGTGCCGAAAGAAAACTGTTAACTAAGATCAAATCCGATAAGTATAGTAATGATAGGTTTGTTCATAATTTTGTTTCAAAACTCTTTCACGTGAAAGCACCATACAAATATGTCTTTTTTTGTAGATCAAATGACAAGAGCTTCATTGTAAGAAATGAGAAACAATAAAAACCGAAAGAATTTGTCAAAAAAAAGTTTTATTGAGAAATACATCTACTTTCCAAATGCAGGACACATACACGTTAAATTGGACAAATCTGTGATAAAGCCGTCCTTTTCTAAAGTATCCTGGATAAATTTGAGTTACTTTTTGATTGAACAACTCGTGCCATTGAAGTCGTATGATGATCCAGAGTAGGTTTCGTTTATTTCATATGCTTCACACTGTTCTTTCTTCAATTCATATCCATACCATGATACTCAAAACGATACGTAAACAAACTAGAGGGAATGTTAGTAATTTGCACCTCCTACCTTTCTGATTTGCTGAAATATCAATAAATTTGTCAAACCCATCAGAGAAGCAGCCCACTTTTCATTCTCACTTTTTGAGATTGTTTGCTAATCAACTTTATATGGTTATTGGACATGTTTATAACTAACAGGAAGAGTAGATTCCCTTCTGCATGAATTGTTATTGTTTGGTTTGTTATGAATTTCACGCAAAGCTACAAGAGGGCTACCTGCGCTAGCCGTCCCTAATTTAGCAGTGTAAGACTACAGGGAAGGCAGCTAAGCATCACCACCCACCTCCAACTCTTGGGCTACTCTTTTTACCAACGAATAGTGGAATTGACTGTCACATTATAACGCCCCCAAGGCTGATACTATGGTGTAAAAATCACAAACTTCCCAGCTTAGCCTAAAAAACTAAAACATCTAGTATTTCAAAAATTCCAGATAAGCAATGTGCTTGTCATATTTCACCATAACAAAATGTGCTGTTTATGAGAGAGCTGCCAGAAACAGATGATGTCTCCAGCTGTGATTTACTGATAAACTAAAACATTACTGCTCCAGTAGGTAAAAGTATTGCAATAAATCCATAAAAGAAAAAAAGTTGTGAAAATGTTAACAACTGAAACTTTCTAATCGATACTGCAGTCAGTTTAAATGGTATCACTCAATTGATTATTTCTCTATAAAACTGAGTATCAAGTGTGCTGTTCATGATATGAATGAGAAAATAGGAGATAAAATGTAGAAATTTACCCACAAAACCCAACTGATTTTTACTTAAGAGTTTCTAGAGATAATGAAAATAAAATATAAAACTGTAAGATGGATGGAAGTATTTTTACTCTTAGCATCAAAATAATCTTTCAGAGAAGTTTCACTCACAATGTCTCAATAAAGGCTTTGGAAATTTAGAAAAATCTTTAGCTGAAGTACTTTATTATAAAATCTTTTTTTTTTGTTTACAACATCATTTTAATGTTTACTAAAAAAATTTGTGAAGATATACTAAGCAGTTTAAGAGTTCTAGTATGTATAGCTTC